CCCCGGCGCTGAATGAGAACGGAAAAGGGGGGCGGCAGGAAGCGAGGGGCCTGCCTCCCCGGCTTCCTTATCCCACCCCACAGCTCTGTCCTCGTACGTCTGGCCGGGTCTGGACAGACCCTGTGCGCCCTCCCGCAGAAAGGAGAGAGGAGGAGGCTGGGGGCTGGATCAGGATGGGGACGGATGTGTTTGTGCATCTCTTGGAGTCTAGCTGCTTTGGGGGATCGGGAGGGCGGCTACCATTTTCCTCAGGGCATTAGCTGTCTAGGGGAGAGTCAGGTTGAAGATCTGGGACTTGATGCGTCCACGGTATTGTCTCAAGCGCGCTGTTTTGTTCTTTTCTGCTCCACGTTAGGTTGGTGTCTTCCGTGCACGCTGTGCTGGCCACCGGGTCGGGGATCATCATCATCCGCTCCTGCAAAAACGTGATTTCAGACAGGTAACATCCAAAGCCAGGTGGAAGGAACACAAACAGCAGGGCTGAGGCACTTTGGGGCAAAGTCCTATATTTTGGTGGCTCCCAGGCACTACTTCTTCAGCCCACGCTCGTAGGTAGCTGATTAGTGAGAAAAACCCTTCCCTCAGTCTCCCAGGCTTGGGAGGAAAGTAAACGCAGAAATGCTAGAGAATAACATTCTGAGTTTGAGGCCAGTGTGGTCCACTGAGCCAAGTGCTTTGTGAGCGACTTAAGTGTGAAAATGAATAAGAAGTAGGTGTGTGGCTTTAGATTACTTTTGAGGCTCTCCCTGAGTTCCACTCAGTTCATTGACCACGATCTGTCCCGTGTGGTTTGAAGTGCCTTTTCTATTGAAGAGAACAAAACCTCGGTCTTCCTCACAAAGGCTTCAAACGGATTTGGTGAAGGTGACAAGGAGATTTCAGAAATGTGTCTCAGGTCAAGAAGTGTGCAATTTCAATGAATGCCATTTCAGTGAAACTAATCCTAGGGTATAGGAGCTCTGGTGGTGCAGTCGATAGGGAGTTGTCTGACCCAAAGACAGCACCTCGTTGATGGTTCAAATCCACCAGCGGCTCCTTTAGCGGAAAAGATCATCTTCTCCCTTGCAATGTACAGCCTCAGAAAACCTGTGAAAGGGTCAGCTGTGAGTCATTTCTGACAAAAAGAGTTGTTGTTATGTGCCGTCAAGTTGCTTGCGACTCATAGCGATCCTATGTGCAACAGCCCTAAACCCTGCTCTATCCGGTGCCAATCGCACTGCCTACAACACACCCATCCCGATTACCCCAGTCACTGAATCAATCCACCTCATAGAAGTCTTCCCCTCTTGTGTGTCCCTCCACCCTCCCAAGCTTGATGTCCCTCTCTAAGGACCTGTCTCTTCTTACAACATGTGCAAATCATAAATTAAGAACGGGATGGTCTGCTTTGTGAGTATTTAGAATTGAACAATCGATGATAATGTGGTTCTTTTTCTTTTAAGTTTTTTTTTTCTTTTTAAAAACTTGTCTTCCTCAAAGCACTCTCACTTTCTCCCCGTTAAATTGAAGAGTCTGATGTGTGGACTCAGATTAACAGCCTTTCTCTGATGGTTGTCTGCATGTCTGCAGTGTGACCTATTCACCTGTTGGCACTGAACACCAGGGGGCCTATGTAGAGCATCTGTCTCTGCCCGCTATGTGCCTGGATCTTGACTTGGGGTTAACCCTGCCATCAGGCATTTTGTGCCTTTTTTGTGCTGGTTTTGTGCCTCTTTTCAGACAAAACCAGTTAATGGCAATAAACTGTAGATACTGAAAGAGTCATTAGCACATCTGAGAGAGAACAATGGGGTCATCTCTTCCTGTGCAGTTTCCAGCCTCGGAAAAGCCACTGGAGGATCAGCTATGAGTCGGTTCTGACTGGATGACAATGAGTTTTTGAGCTGAAGAGATTCTAGGTGGAGAGACCTTGTCTGTCTACACCACAGGCTGACAGATTTTGCTTGACAGGTATCGGTTTTTATTGTAAAGAGCATTTTCTGATCAATTAGCAAGCTTTCTTCCTCCTAGTGTTTCAGGTCAAATTGTGAAGCCAGCCTCCTTTCAAAAGTTAGACAGAGGAGGACCGCCATCACCCTGCTCCAGCACTAGGTGGAGCTCACCTGAGAGCCAGCTGTACATTTCAGGAAATATTACCTCAACATTGATTGGCATTGAGTTACAACTGACTCACAGCTAATGTTCCATTGAGTTCACGCAGATTCTTACCACAGGCAACATCATGATGGGTGGAGAAGAGATTGAAACTGTCAACAGCTTCATATTGCTTGGATCCACAATTAACACTCTTGGTACCAGCAGTCAGGAAATAAGGAGACACATTACACTGGGAAAGTCTGCAGTTAAGGATGTCTCCAAATTCTCGAGGAGTAGTGACATCAGTTTGAGGACTAAGATGCATCTGATTCAGGCCATAGTCTTTCCGATCACTTGCTGTTCATCTGAGAGCTGGACAGTGAATAAGGATGACGGAGAAAGAACTGACACCTTTGAACTGTGGTGTTGGAGAAGAGCACTGAACATCCTATGGACTGTCGAGAGAACAAACATATCTCTTGGAGAGGGTGCACCTGGAGTGCTCTTTGGAGGCAAGGATGATGAGGCTTTGCCACACATACTTTGGACATGTTTTAGGAGGGACTGTTCCTTGGAGAAGGACATGATGCTGGGAAGGGTGGACCATGTGAAGGAAGGGAAGACCCTCAACCAGGTGGATTGACACGGTGACTGCCACAATTGGCTCTTGTGTGTCAGGAAGTGTGAGGATGGCACAGGATAGAGCAGGGTTCAGATCTTTTGTTCACAGGGTCACTTTGAGTCGTACTTGACTAAATGGCACCTAACAAAAACAACAAATCACACAGAAACAGACTGCCTGTCTTTCTTCCCCAGAGCTGGTGGGTTTGAACCACCAGAGAGTCCTGGTGGTTTCAGAAAATATTATTTACATACAATTAACTTTCAACTCCATAGCACCATTGTGTGTTCTCACTCAGGTGTGAGAGCCGTGGCTAGAGCAGGTGACACACCTTCAGTTTCCTTGTTTTGTGTGTCTTCAAGCTTTATATTCACTATTTGTAAAATGTGAACATACATCACATTTCTAGGACCTCTGCCTTTCTTTATACTGATACATAAAGATGCTGTAAAGATACCTGATGTTGTTGTTATGTTCTGTTAAGTCAGAACCTGCTCATAGCTGGCCTTTCAGTGGGTTTTCAGAAGCTATAAAGTTGCATAGGGGGAGATGGTCCCTCTTTCTCTCATAGGGCACAATTCTTTGCCACTAGTCTACCAGCGCTCTCTAAAGACATCTGTTGTTTGTCATTAGATATTGTGGAATTGGAACAGACTCACAGTTAACCCTTTTCAGAAGCAGTAAATCACACGGTATGAGCTTGCCCATCTTTCTCCTGCAGAGCAAATCCCTTGACTGTGGTCTGACAGCACAGTCACTGAAAAACTAGAGTCTCTTGTGGGTCATACTGTGAATTGTTATTGTTGTTAAGTGCCATCAGGTCGTAGATGACTCATAGCAACCCTATGAACAAAAAGACCTGAACACTTGTAAACCTTTCATTATTTCTCCACATTCATAGAGTTTCCAGAGGCAAGCTATTTCGGAAGTGGATGCCACTCCTGCTTCATAAATACAATTTTTAAAAAGTATTTTTATTTATTTATTTTTTTTACTATGTGCTTTCTCAGAGAGCTCTGGTAGCCTAGTGGGTAAGGAGTTGTGGAGTTGTGCTGCCAACCCAAAGGCAGGTGGTTCAAATCCACTAGCTGCATCTGAAGAGAAAGATGGGCTGTCCCCACCCATGTTATCTACAGCTTCTAAAAACTCACTGGAAGCATATGAGTCAGTTTTGACACCCTGGCAATCAGAGAGAGAGAGAGAAAGTCCTCTGGAGGGTCAGCTGTTAGTCAATTCTGATTTGCTAGCAGAGAGTTGAGTTGGTGTGCCTTCTCATTTTATGCTTTTCTAAGAGCATCCATAGATGGAAGGGGGCATCTATCAATCTCCCAAAATTATCTGTAGAAGTTGGTGTGGAGTCGAAAGTCATCAGACTCTTTAAAAAGTCCAAACCATCCTCCTGTTCAATCAACTGCCTTTGAATACCCACTAGAGGGTGAGCTATGAGCCAGTTCTGACTCGACAGTACACATCAACAACAAACCCAAGGTATATAAGCAAAGGGAGAGATGTTTCTTTTTTTGGGGGGGGGGAAGTCCAAACCAAAACCAAAACACCCCAAATCAGTTGATCTGGATAAATTCCAATTCCTAGAAGCCTCGTAGAGTGGAGCCAAATACCACCTGGGATTTCAGAAGCAAATTGCCTCATCCTTCTCCAGTGGCTGGTGGGTTTGAACTTCCAACCTTTTGGTTAAGCCCAAGCTTAACCCACTATACCTCCAGAGCTCTTAAAAAGGTTCAGGGCCCTAAAAATAGTGAAAGCCCCAGCTGGAGGCACCTCACGCACTTTTCTTAGAGTAAGGACATGTCTCTTGTTAGCATTGCTGTTTAGTTGGCCTGAGTCGTGGTGTCTCTACATGTTAGCAGATTAGAACTACTCCACAGGATTTTCTTGACTAATCTTTTCAGAAGCAGCTTGCCAGGTCTGTCTTTGCTGGCTGCTGGGTGAGTTTGAATCTTCAACCTTTGGAGTAGAAGCTGATGGCAAACCTCATGAGCTCCTTGACTTATATTAAAAAAAACAAAACACCTCAAACACTGCCACTGAATCAATTCTGATTCATAGCAACCCGTCTTGAGTTTCCCTTGCACATCTTTTTCCTGCAGAGCCCCTGGTGAATTCAAACTGCTGACCTTATGGTTAACAACCTGATACCGTGTGCATTATGCTACACCTCTAGGGCTTGCATTTATGTTTTGATAGTTATTTTTATACTTTTCTATACCTGGATGATGCAGATTGTTTGGCAGTCAGCAGTCAATTGAAAAGTTGGTGATTCAGATCCACTCAGAAGTTCGGTGGAAGAAGGACCTGGAAATTTCCGTCCTGAAATATCACAGCCATTTCAAACTCTGTGGAGCACAGTTATACTCTGAAATACATGGGGTCACCATGAGGGGAAATTTTTATTACTCGTTCATCGTTGCACATTTTCCTCCCTTCTCCCTTCCCCAGTCCACTTTGCAATGCACCTCCCCATTCCAGATTATTGTCATACATGTAATCCCTAATCGTATATTCCTTTTAGTCAATTCTTCCCCTCATCTGTTCCAGTAGGTGTTCAATTTCTATCCATGCTTTTCCTATTCTCTCTCTAACCTTCCTACCAGTCCTGTTTTATAACAGCAGTGTTATGCAGTATTTGCCCTTTTATGACTGAGATACTTCATGAAGTATAATGTCTTCCAGGCTCACCCATGTTGTGTAATGCTTTATGAGTTAATTGATTTTTAGTGCTGTGTAATATTCCATTGTGTGAATGTACCAGTATTTCTTTCCACTAATTTGTTGATACGCACTTGGGCCACTTCCATCTTTTTGCTAATGTGGATAACACAGCAATAATCTTGGGTGTGCATACATCTGTTTGAGTCTCAGCTCTGGTTTCTTCAGGGTACATTCCCAGTGGTGGCATTGCTGAGTCAAATGGTATTTCTCTTTCCAACATTTTGAGAAAATGCCAGACCACCTTCCATAGTGACTGTACCATTTTACATTCCCATTAACAGTGAATAAGAGTTCCAGTTTCTCCACCACCTCACCAGCATTTGTTATTTGTGCCCTGTTGACTTTCATATCGTTGCTGGGGTGAGATAACGTCTCAGTTGTTTGCATCGTGAGGGGAAATTGATTCAACAGCAGTTGGTTAGTTTGTGGTGTTTGCGTTGGAAAACATGGTCACGTTCTTAGCTTTTTAATCCTCACAGGGAAGTAACACAGTGTTATTATCCTCATGTTATAAATAAGTCTAAATCCCTGGCTACTGGTAGTTAATATAATCCAGATCTCTTGCTGATAAGTCTTCAAAGAATTCTACCTAAGAGCCATACTTTCTGATCTTACTGAATTGGTACCATGTGCAGAATATTAAAATCCTGGGGCTGCACTCAAAGGGAGAGGCCAGTTGTAGTTCAGCCAAGCTTGTGGTAGCTCTGCGGTCATTATTTTGTGTTGAGATTGCTTTAAGAAAGTGACTGAGACCATAGATGGGCGAAAGCATGCACCTTGCCTCTTTTAACCTCCATGGAATCTGGTTATATTAATTCATCACCTGCAAGTGACTTTGCCACTACTTACTCGTTTGTGTCATTTCATTGTTTATTCATTATTTAATTATGCCGTGGCAAGTGAGCACAGGAACTTTTCAGGAGCAGAGGCAGGAATGGCACCATCTTTAGGTGTGTTTAGTGTCATGACTCAATAAACTGATTCCTTAGGATGTGACCTGAAACAGTTAAAAATTCCAATGCCCTCCACACATTTAACCTGTCTTAACAGGCACTGAAGGTGACTCTGATGTGCTTGTAGTTTGGAAACTATGAAATGAACCTCTTCTTCCTAATGCATCTTTCTCTGCCTGCTTCCCTCCCTTGCACGCACCCTCCCTCCCTCTCTCCCTCCCTCTGCCTTTTCTCATTTCTGCAAATGACTCATAGCTGACTTTGTAGTGGGTTTTCCAAAGCTGTAAATCTCAAGTGTGAAATTTACTCCTGTTCCTTTTTCTCCCGCAGAGCAGCTGGTGGATTAGAACCGCCTGCCTTTGGGTTGACAGTGCATCTCCTTACCCACTAGACCACCAATGTGCCCTCCCTGACACATAGATGCTCAGTGAAAATCTGCCAACCAAGTGAGCCCTATCCTTTCCAGCCTGGTACATGATTTGACTTGGACTTTTTAAATTTTCATATAAACTTTCTGTGGCATGCTTAATTTGGGAACAAAACTATATTGATTATAAAGACTTTCCTTCTGATACATCATCCTATGACAGTAACAAACTATCATTTCATTTTAGCATATTGATTCAGCCCCTTTGGCTAGGATTGACACAGGGCATTTAGGCTTTGGTATGGGAAAATGCATTCTGACAAATAAATGGGACCAGTGCTTTTGTTCACCTTCTTCCCGGTAACTTATATTTAAGGCTTAGACTCACTTCTAGATTTATGTCCCTTAATGAGTGAATTAGCAATAGGATTACAGAGAATATGGCCAGGGTTGCTACCCAGAACTTCTTAGAGTGAGGCTGCGTGTAGACGCTAAGGGAGAATTCATCCAAGGCTTCTGGTGAGTGGACTTCCAACTGTTGAGCAACTGCAAGGAGTTAAACCGGAAATATTAGATGTGGGATTTGGGATGTGGGACGCCTTCCAAACCAGTTTCTTGGTGGAGCTGTTGAGTCATTTGTAAATGCATCTCTGTGAAAGTCAGATGATATCACAGAATGCCAGAAAAGCTATTGCAAATGAGTTGCTGTCTCGGGCAGAAAATGCAACTGTGACGGCAGGTCACTTAAGCCCGTGGTGCTGAGTGAACCTGTGCTGTTTTCTGTCTTCTGGTGCTTACAAATCTGCCCTGGTCCTTAGAGGAAGAAGCTATTTACTCTCCCTGTTCAGCAGTGCCTTTATTCTAAAGCACGTGGGATAAAAACCAAGCTTCGGGGAAAGTGTTTGAGAAGGGGTTGGCTTTGAGCTTTTGTAACTGATATTCATGGTTATTTCACGAGCCATCTGTATGCTTTCTTTCAGGCACTGGCTTGCCCGGGAATATGTTTGGTTTTTGATTCCATACATGATCTATGACTTCTATGCCATGTACCTCTGTGAGTGGTACAGAAGCAAGGAGGAGCACCGCAAACATTCCTTTACCACTTTCCAAAACTTACTGATTCAAAACCGCCTCATGGTCACGCACCATTTAGTCATCCTGCTCGCCCTCGTGCCCGTTGCACAGGTAAGGCCTCCCCGGACCAGTATCCTCGGGTATTCATTTTCTCCCATTAAGCTAGAGGTCTGGACCATTCATGCTGAGTGAGGACTAGCCCTCTTTTCTTTCCCTTTCCAACTGTATCCCCTTTCCTTGTGCCAGTTGCTTACGTTATTAAATGCCCCCTATGCCAACAGTGTCGAAAAAGAAGTAAACCTGAAGTGTGCCTGATTCTCCCGGCTAACAGCATTCTTTTTAGCAATTCCCACAAACAAGTCTGTCTTGAAAGAGGTGCTCCCTAGAGGCAAGGATGATGAAACTTGGGCTCACAAAATTTGGGTGTGTTGTCAAGAGGGGCCAGTCCTTGGGAAGAAGCATCATGCTGTAAAGGGTGGAAGATCAAAGAAAGAGAAGATCCTCAATGAGATGGCTTGATACAGTGACAGTTACAGTGGGTTGGAGCTTATTAGAGATGGTGAGGACAGGACGAGGTAGGACTCGGTTTCAGTCTGTTGTTCATAGGGTGTCTATGAGTTGTAGCAGACTTCATAGAACAATAGCAGCAGACTTCTGGATTCCTCAGCATTTGTCAGTTCTGTCTTTAATTTGTATAATATAAAAACAATATAAATACAAATAGCACCGGTCAGTCCATTTGCTGTACAGAGGTAACTTGTGGTTGCTGTGATGCTAAACACTGTGACACTGATGTGTCAAATGTGAGAATGGTTACACATAGCGGACAGTGTTTGGAGCTTCCCAATTAAAACAAGCTTGGAAGCAGGAGTGGCATTCTCTTCCGAAATAGCTTGCCTCCGGAAACCCTCTGAACTTGGAGAAACAATGAAAGTTATACAGGTGTTCAGGTCTTTCGTTCATAGGGTCGCTATGAGTCGTCTATGATTTGACAATACTTAACAACAAACAACAACATCATCTTAGAAATAATGGAATACTGCGCTGCATTGAAAAACAAGGAACTCATGAAATACTATTCAAAATGGATGACCCTGGAGGACATTATGCTGAGTGAAAGATCTCATACACAAAAGGATAAATACTATATACTACATACTGCCAAAGATTCTCACCACTGGACCAATTGGTAGCATCAGGATGGATGGTGAAGAGATTGGGATTGTTCACAGCTTCAGTTTGCTCGGCTCCACAGTCAACACTCTTGGCACCAGCAGTCAGGAAATCAAAAAACATATTGCGATGGGAAAGTCTGCTGTTAGGGACCTCTCTAAAGTACTAAAGAGCAACGGTGTCTCTCTGGAGACTAAGGTGCGCCTGATACAGGTCGTGGTCTTTGCCATCACTTGTTATGCATCAGAGAGTTGGACAGTGACTAGGGAGGATAGAGGAGAATTGATGCCTTTGAGCTGTGGTGCTGGAGAAGAGTATTGAATGTACCCTGGACTGCCTAGAAAACAGATTCATCCTGGAGAGGATTAAACCAAGCAACTCCTTGGAGGCAAGGATTCTGGGGCTTCATCTGACATACTTTGGGCATGTTGCAAGGAGGGACAGGTCCTTGGAGAGGGACATCATGCTTGGGAAGGTGGAGGGACAGTACAAGAGGGGAAGACCCTCTATGAAATGGATTGATTCAGTGACTGGGGTAATCGGGATGAGTGTGTTAGAGGCAGTGCTATTGGCAAAGGATAGAGCAGGGTTTAGGGCTGTTGTACATAGGGTCGCTATGAGTCGCAAACGACTTGACAGCACATAACAACAACAAGTACATAGTGCCATTGTTATAAAACGAGATTGACATTGGGTTTGAGGGGAGACTGAGAAAGATGGGATAAATAATGTATACTGCACTGAAACAGATGAGGGAGAGAACTGTTTAAAAGGGATATATGATTGTGTATTATTGTCATGACAGGAGTCCAGAACGAAGGCTGCATAGTGAAGTGGACTTGGGGGGAGGGATTGTATAACAATAGAAGAATTTTTTGTTTACTTTTTAAAGAGAAGAGAAAATGGGACGGGGGGGAAGGGGTGACAGGGAGAAAAGTGCAACAATGAATGAATGGAAATCCAAAGATTTTACATTTTCATTATAATTAATAATAATAATAAACAAAAATAATTGACAGTAAGAAATAAGAAAGTAATTCAGTCAGCTAGTTCTTTGCACTAACAGTGCAAGAGAGTATTGTATGCATTATTTTGATGTCAGTAGAAAACATGTCCTCAGAGCACATAGCCTTATAATTTCTTCCAATATCTATTTCCCCCTGAAAACTCACCAAATAACGAAGAGAATGAGTATGCAGAGAGAAAACGAATCATTATCTGAGTGTCTTCCATGTGGCAGATACTTGATTTAAAGCTCAGAGCTTTCTATTATAAACTCCTGGACCTAAATGAGGTTCCTGGCTGGCACAAAGAGTTTGTGCTCTACAAAGGCTAAGCTGGTGGCTTACACTCACCCAGCAGTGCTGTGGAAGGAAGTCCTGGCAACCTGCTTCTGTAAAGATTAAACCCACTGCCATGGAGCCAATCCTGAGCATGCCCTGTGGGACCATCCCACTCTGGAACACAGTGATGTCATGAGTCACAAGCAACTTGACAGCAACACGTTTCATTATTTGATTTTCATACTGTACATGAAGAAACTGGAGTATCAAGAATTTGTGTCTCTCTGTGCAACAATGGGGAAATAAAAATGAAAACAATTTTTTATGTTTAAAAAAAAAGTAAAGGCATTTGCCTATCTCAGTTGTACCAAGGGCAGAGCTAGTATTACTCTATGCTCTGCTGCCTTTGTGAAAGGGATGAAGGAGAGGCAAGATGTATTTATTAACTTCTGGAGGGGGCACTCTCTTGATTGTACTGGGACCCAACATCTAGCTCAAGGCCTGGTATATATTGGTTGTACTGAACTGGCCTAGTGCCCTTGCCATGACTCAGCTAGATACCCAAGTTGTCTGTTGAGTTCCTTCTGACTTGCACTGAAACTCGAGAAAATTTGGTGTATGGAGACCATCAGCCTATCTGACTTGGCCTCTGGGTTGCAGGAATCCAGCCATCTAGGTCCTTTTGCTGGGGAAGTAGCAGAATATGGACTGGGTCCCCACTTGCCTCCTTAGCACTCTCCTTTCCCTGCCTGGTCTCTCCTGGTTACCCCTTTTCTAGAACATTCGTTAGGATTTCTCTGCAGCAATTTCTTAGCCTCCCTTTCTTGTTTCCCTTTTTGCCTCTGCAGAAGCTTCGGGGAGACCTGGGGGACTTCTTCGTGGGCTGCATCTTCACAGCAGAGCTGAGTACTCCGTTTGTGTCGCTGGGCAAAGTTCTGATTGAGGCATGTATGAGGGGAATACGAGGGTGATGTGGGAGGGAACTGGCCCGGCTCTTCCTTTGTGGATTGTGGGCTTGGAGAAATGCCTCAGGGTTAGGAGTAATGAGATGGGAGGCCACGCAACAGGCGGAAATGTCACTAGGCCATCTCAGTCAGTGTGCCATGAAATTGTAGGTTTAATCCAAATTGCTGCAGTTCATTTATTCATATTTTTTCCTAGCTCCAGATGGTCTTCTTTAACCCACTGCTTCTGTACTCCAGTCAGTTGAGAGGCTTAGGCCATGTGTGATGTCACTATTGGAAAAAGTAGGGAGTTCTGGTGGCCTCCTGGTGAGGTGTTGCACCACCACCCTAAAGGCAGGTGTTTCAATTCCTCCAGCTTCTCCACAATTTATTGCTGTTGAAAATCCACTGGAGGGTCAGCTTTGAGTTGGTTCCAACTTGACAACACATACCTACAACATTGGAAAAATACGTGTGTGTGTATGTGTGAGTACATACACTGGTCTGTGCATTGCTGTATAGAGGTAACTTGTGGTTGCTGTGATGCTAAACACTGTGACACTGATGTGCCAAATGTGATAATGGTTACCCATGGTGGACAGTGTTTGGTGGAGCTTCCTGATTAAAACAAGCTTGGAAGCAAGAGTGGCATCCATTTCCAAAATGGCTTGCCTCTGGAAACTATAAACAGTGCTCAGGCCTTTCCTTCATAGGGTCTCTGAGTTGTCTACAACTCGACTGCACTTAACATTTTATACACACACACACAGAGCTTTGACGGCCTAGTCCAAAGTGAGTTGCACTGCTATCCCAAAGGTGATGTGGTGGTGTGAAACCACCAGCAGCTCCTTGGGAGAAGGCTGAACAGTCTCCTACCATGGGATTCACAGCCTCCGAAAACCTGCTGGAGGGTCAGCTCTGAGTCAGTTTGCCTCAACGCCAATGAGTTAGAACCTTATTATATGCGTTCAGAGAACTAGATGCATATATAGGTGTCAAAGAATTTAGCGATGGTTGAATACTCATCTTGCAGGAAACCTAGGTTTGATTCCCAGTCAGTATACTGCACAGCTACCACTTGTCTGTCAGTGGAGGTTTGTGTGTTACTCTCCATGATGCTGGGCAGGATTCATCAAAGCTTTTACACTTAGAGGGGGAGGAAGAAAAGCCTGACTACTTTCAACTGAAAATCAGGACTGAGAACTGTATGGATCACATGGTCTGATACTGCCTCACACGGATTGCTGTGAGTCGGGGGCCAGTTCAGTGGCAGCCAACAACAGCAGGTAGTACTTTTACCTGCTTGCCTTGCCTCCTGTAGAGCTGAGAACAAGGAGAGGGGAGTCATTCTCTGATGCCCCAACCTCTTCATTGACTTCCTGCTCTCTTCCTTTTTTGTTATAGCTAAAGCAGCAGCATACCCTTCTGTACAAAGTGAACGGAATCCTCACCCTGACCACCTTCTTTTCCTGTCGGATTTTGCTTTTCCCCTTCATGTACTGGTCCTATGGCCAACAGATGGGGATAAGCCTGATTCTAGTGCCATTCCAGATCCCTTCCCATTGCAATTTGGCCAATGCCATCCTCATAGCACCACAGCTCTACTGGTTCTCGCTGCTGTGCAGGAAGGCAGTCCGCCTCTTTGACGCTCCTCAAACCAAAAAGGATGGGTAATTGTTCCCAGAAGTCAGCCACTGGCCAAACCTCCTCACAACCAGCTGCCTTCTCCGCTCAGTGTTCCATGGGCCAAATTGTACCCTGGATGGCCTCAGTTTTCTGAGTATTCATGAGCAGATAGGTTTGAGTTTTTGTAAAGAGTTTTCATATTACCTCCCTCCTGTAACCTGCCCCTTTTGAAAAAGCACTTTTTTCCTTCAAGAACAACTGGTGGATCCAATCAGAGCCCCCACCACTGGCAGCAAAGTGGTTTTAGTGCCAGTTCAAGGATTCTTCCTTGAGTTTTATCTCAAGGGCTCTGGAAGGTCAAAGCATGGGGCGTGGCATAGTGAACCAGGGTGATAAGTGCCCCCCCCCCCACACCTGGTTCTGCACGCTGGTGCCAGCCACTCAGCCCATACAACCAACCACTCAGGTCAAGTATCCACACACTGGGCCAGAAGCAACCATGACTTAGCTCTTCAAGTAAGGTCATCTTGCCACATTGGCCTAGAAAAATCATTGTAGGTAGGAAGGTTTTGTTTATTGTTTACTAAGGCTATAGCCCTTTGGTTCTTTGCCTTATCCTCTCCTCCATGTGCTAGCAGTGAAGTCTCCTATCCACTGACTTTTCCCCCAAAGGTCTCAGTGGTCAGAGCAGGAGGGCAGGGATGAAAACCTGAAGTGCTCGAGCAGGTAGGGATACCGAATGGTCAGCACTACTTTCATGGGCTGACTTGGTGAGAATAGTGGTGTCAAACTGGTGAGCTTGTGACAGTTTTCCCCAGGCCTGTTCTCCTGATACATGCCCAAGACTCTCGTAATAGGCAGAACAATGGCTTCTTACTGGGTAATGCCACTCTTTGACACTAGTTTTCCTAGACGTGGAAGTAGTTTTGAGTATATATGCCAAACCATGAGGTTGTCTCCAGTCTAGAGTGCTTTCCACGGGGCTTCCTGGTTAAGCCAGAACTTCTGATCCAAAACTCATTCCTGTGAGTGCATCTGCCTTTTATCCAGAGGGCTGGGCAGCAAGTGCCAAAAGTCCAGTCAAAGTATGTCCTGTGGACTTTTTCTGCCTAAGGAGATCCCTGTGGCCCTTCACCCACCATTTGAAAATAGGATGCTCTAGTGCCAACACTATTTCCTCATCAACTAGGATGGGTTTTAGAAACTGCTACCATGATTTTTTTTTAAAGTGGTAGTGAAAACTAGAATTTTAAGTGTATTTTAATTCATTGTTGTCCATGGGCTTTTAAAGTACTTAATATTTGACTGTTGCAGTCATTAATTGGTGCCATTTAAAAAAATTTAAAAATGCTGTCATTTGTTTATTCTCGTGTCTGTATATATCACCATCCTGTAATTAGACAATACTGCCTCCGGCTGCCAGAGTGTTCCTCTGAAAGTTTCCATAGGCTGATTTCTAGTCGATGTCATGAAGCAAAGAAACAATTACCATTCATTTGTAGGGGAAATTTTCCCCAGTGTTTCCGGAGTCCCAGAAAAACCTACCAATTAACAGGACCTAAAATAGCCCAGCACCCAGTGATCCACAGTTCAAAGGCATGTTGTTGGGTGTGGCACATGGCTCCCGGGTAAGGAGCTTGGTGACACCACTCTGCCACTCCAGCTGTGCTGTAAACAAATGTTCAACATTGGTCTACTTTTTACCTTTTCTTAAAAAGCAAAAATCCTCTTTGGATTTCAGTTCATGAAAGCAGATACCAACATAGGTCTTAAGGGTGGCATAAAGCGAACTTTTGAGAAGCAGGGAATACCAGTTTACTCTCATTTGTGATGTGTGTCACAAATAAACCAATCTCCCGTGCCCACATCCCATCACCTGACACAATGGGCCACTTCAAATTCTGGGCACTGTTGAGGTCTGTGAAATTGGCAGGGGTGGGGGCGCTTTCAGCCTTCAGAGGGTGCTTTAAACATGTTTTTGCAATTTATTGTGTCAAGACTATGTTGAGGGTCTCTAGTAGAAGCCCATGAGCAGACATAATTTTAGACCTTTTCTTCTCTTCCCCCATCATTAGGTACTGGGGAGTGGAAACCCAATTGTTGGCCAGAGCTAGCCCTGTCTAGGTGAGGGAGGGAACCTGAACAATGCCCCATTTCAAATGAAGGTGTGGATGTGATGGTGATGAGGCATACTTAGCCTTCCCCCTCATGTCCCCAAATGAACACCTTGCCAACCAGTCCTCATATTTGCATAATATAGCCTGCACACCTTAAATTCCCATTTTCATGCTTCTGAAAACATTATTCTTAGGGAGTTCTGGTGGCCTAGTGGCAAGAAGCTGCACTGCAATCCCAGAGGTATGTGGTTCAAATCCACCAGATGCTCTGCTGGAGAAGGAGGGACAATTTCCTCCTGTACCAGTCAGATCCAATTTGACAGTACACACACAAAAAAATAAAAAATAAAAAAAAAACACACCAAAAAAACCCCACCATTATTCTTTCTTCAAAACCATGCCAGTGTCACTTTAGACAGATATAATTATATCCAGTCTTATATGAGTCTATAACACATTGCAGGTGTGTTCATTAGACCCAGTTTTATTATATCCTATCTTGGGTCTACGGAGTAGAGTTACAGGATGGAGTTAGAAGTTTTCAATTCAGAAGACACCCATTTTCCTAAGGCTATTAATCTATAATGCTCAATTCTTGGTCCAATATTAATTTTATTTTTTTTGTATAATTATATTTTATTAATTTTCATAAACATTTACAGAGATTTTAGGTTTCCATTCATTCATTGTTGCAAAAATTTTATTATTTTGTGTGTGTCTGTACCGTCAAATCAGATCTGACAGGTACAGGAGGAGATTGCCCCTCCTTTTCCAGCAGAGCATCTGGTGGATTTGAGCCACATACCTCTGGGATTGCAGTGGAGCTTCTTGCCACTAGGCCACCAGAGCTCCCCTCCAATATTCATTTTAAAACAGTGGGCACACAATTGTAGCCAATTGGTGGTGGAGCCAGGGCTGCAAAAGGGCTCCTTTCCAAGATACTCCATAAAAAAGAAAATCACTAGTGAAGGGGTCATTTTATTAACCTCTTTATTTTAAAGGATCACACGCTCTAATTTTTCTCCTACTTTGGCTGTTTCCTCTTTAAGCTCCTTTGCCAATTCAAAGGTAAAGATACTGGGTGATGACAACAATATGTACTTGACCAAGGTTACTAGTTCAAACCTACCCAGTGGCCCCATGAATAAAGGCCTGTGAAGGGGTACTACTCTCTAACCCCTGGGATTGTCATGGGTCAGAACTGACTCCATGACATCAGGTAAACTGAGGGTTGAGCTGAGTCCAATTTGAGAGCCCTGTATTAGTGATGATGGCGCTCTGGTGGCTGAGTGTTTAGAAGCTGTGCTGTAATCCCAAAGGCACGAGGTTCGAATCCACCGGCAACTCTGAGAAGAATGGGCAAACTCCTCTTGTGTGGTTTACTGCCTCCAAAAACCCACTGATCAGCTATGAGTCAGTTCCAACTCGACAGAACACAACAACAACAGACTAGTGATGACGACCAGATGAAATTCAAAAGAATTTTATTATAATTTGTATGCTACAAATACTATTTTCTTTACACTTTTTTTTTATTGCCATAAAAGAACTTGACTACACTGTCACATTGTAGGCTTGTGCTTCTTGACCCCAGACCCCATAAACTGGCCCACTGAAGCCTGGCTTTTTTTCCATCTGCAAAGATCAGAAGTTGCTGATCTTCTGCAGCAGTGTGTGGCGTCGCTCCTCTGGGCTAATGTTCTCGGCGATGGACTTTAAGAAGCGTTGCTCATTCACCTTCTGCAGCAAGGAACTGACGGAAGGGTTGGCCTTGCTGAGTGTTTCATAGCAAGTGAGGATCTCCAAGGCCAGTACATAGAGTGGTTCGCATACCTCCTGGGGGATCATGGCCATGACGTGCAGGGTGTGGCAGAAGACCTGCGTGTAAACAAACAAGGCTTCCTGGGTCAGGTCCTGTTCTTGTCCTTGGGCCCAAGGACCCACTGACTGTATCAACCGAATGGAGTCCAGGAGGTTGGTTAGACTGCTACAAAGAAGCTTGACCACGTGGCTCCAGCCGTCGAGAGGAAGCCAGTTACGACAACTCTGGCTGCAGAGGAACTGGAAAACCCTCAGGAAGAGGACAGACAGTTGGAGCTGCTGGGCAAAGGGCTTGAGGTTGAGCAGGGGCACAAACTGAATGTATTCCAGGCTGTATGGGACGTGGAGGAGCTGTTTCTCCAACAGTCTCTTGGTCAGCTGGTGAAGGTACTGCCACTCCTGGGAGCTGCACCACGGCATGATTTGCACGAGGGCCACCAGAAAGCCCTTGCTGAACAGCCTGACCTCCTCTGGTTTGCCTACGTCTACCACCAGCAGAGAGAGCATCTGCTCACAGAGGCTGCTGGAGATGCAGCAGCACTCCATCCAGGCCAAAAGCCCTGTGCCTGGCCCATAGCCAGGGTGGGCCTGCGAGGTCCACTCACTCTCAGAAAGCTTACAGATCTCAAAGAGAGTGGCTGGCACCTCACACTTGAAGTGTCCCTCAAAGAAATTCTTCAGTCGCAGGTGCACAGTCCAGTCGAGCTGCTCCAGCTTCCGGTGGAGCCAGGAGAGCGACTTGGCCCAGGTATCGGGGGAGAAGGTCTCTGCGTTCGCAGACACGATCTCACAGAGGACCGTCAGGATGTGGATCGCTACATCCTTCCCGTCCAGAGTGAGGCACCGCTTGTCCTTGGGGAGCTGCCAGTATTTGCTGTAGCAATTCAGAAGCTGGCACAAGCTAAAAATGAGGGGGAACGGGGAGCAGGTCTGGAGCCAGTATTCCTCCAAGCACGAGTTGGCTTCTAGTGTGTGGATGAAGATCTTCAGGCTGAGGTCAACCTGCTGAGTGTCAAGCGTCAAGAAAGGCAGAACAAACTCCTTTAGCACCTCATCTGGCTCAAGCAGCGCAGCCACGGGTATCCCATGGGGCTTCACAGGCTTCATCAGGCAGCTCAGGAACTCCAAAAACTGCTTTTCTTCCTTGGGAGTGGCAATCTTACCCCAGACTGTCTCTTTAAGGCATGACACCACAAATGTGTGGGTTGGGTCTGGACCCTGCCCTTCCATGAACCTGAGGGCCGGGAAGGCGCTGAGAATCTGAGCCAGGAACTTGTGAGTGCCCACGTTGACAATGGCCATGCTGCACATTTTCTTTACTGTCAGTTCTGGGTACAGGAGCACCAGGCGGGCCACCGAAGCTACTGCTTTAGCCAAACCCTGGTCAGAGGTGCTCTGTGTGAGTTGGTTAAAAGTGGTATTAAGGTCTTCCTGAAAACCCTCCAAATAAGCCAGCAACTTCTCAGAGAGTCCCTTCCGCCCACAGGAATGCAGGACCCCAGAGAGGACTTTATTTTTATCTGGCAGGGAGAGGTCGGCATAGCATTCCAGGATCAAGTCCACCACTTGTTTGATCTGCAACTCAGGGACAGCTCTGTCAGAGGAGCTGACATCCAGCACTGTTTCCAGAAGCTTCAACACCAAACCTGGCTCTCGGAAGAGAGCCCTGTTGTTGACCAGACAGGTGAGCCACTCGTCTGAGAAGGCCCACTTCTTCTCGGAGGCAAACACGTAGCACATTTCCATGTGCCGGTCCATCTTCTGCTCAATAATGGCCATGGCAATGGAGGCGGTGATGTCCTTCCCCAAGCTCCTGCTCTTCAGCGTTTTGCTAGTTTGCCTCAGGAAGTCCTTGACATGCTCTGCCAACTCCAAGACCATCTGCCTCTCTTCTTTAGACAAGGTGGTAGTTTCCAGATAGAGCTTCAAGTTGTGGCTGAAGGAAGTCAGACTGTCATACAGCCGGTAGCTGTCATAATTTGTCCCCTGGCTGCTGTTGAGCATGACCTGCAGCTCCTCCCCCCACTCCCGCAACAGGAGGTGCATGTACTCGAACCCAAGGAAGAGTGTCTGGGTTGGGAGCCTGGCCAGGGAGTTCAGGCTGACGTCCCGCTCTGCTTCCTTCACTTTCTCCGTCAGCTCCTGTTGGTGATATGGGTTCTGGGTGTCTGAATTCCACACGGAGATGACAGTAGCCAGTTTGTCCAGATACAGAGTGACAGACAGCTCCTGAGGGTCCTCCTCCACCAATGCAAACACTGTGAGCATGTCAGCCAGATTCGCTAATGCATAACACTTCATGCCAGGACACACGATTTTACTCTGGATTTGCTTCAGTCCGTTGAGCAGCATGGTCAACAAGGGCATGGTAGGGTACACGTCTGGATCTGACTTAAACCTCTTCGGAGGGTGGCAGAACTCATCTGAGGAGGGCAAGTACCTAAGGGCCATTGTCCTAAACTGGGAGAGGAGGGGGTCCTGCTGGTTGCCTTTGTGTTTCATAATTTCCCACCAGATGTCAAGGAAAAAGGCCACATCCTTGGAAGAAGTGTCAGCAGTCATGTGCTCCAGAAAGCGCTCCAGTTCTCCTCTGCAGATGGTGGTGGGCAGGGCCATCAGCAGCTGGATGAAAAGCCCAGAAGCTTCGAGGGACTTGAAGACCTCAAAAAGGACTGTGTGATTGATGGTGGGGAGCATGTTGCCAACCGAGAAGAAGACATCTTCCTTCCACCAGGTCTCTAGGTCAGAAGGGGTGGCAGGGCAGGGCTGAAGAACCTTGGCCCAGATGATGATGAGCGCTTTCTTTTTCCATGCAATGGGCTGAGAGCCGGAGATCTCCTTCAAGGCCTCCACAATGGGCTGCCCAACACGGTCCCAGTCGGACTTGGTCAGTTCTGCAAGTACTTTGGGGCGGAACAGCTGCTCAGCCAGCAAGAACCCCCCATGCAGAATAGTCATTTCTTCACAGATGTTCAAGGGTCCTGCAAGAGGTCAGATAAGAAAGGAAGTGATAAAAAACATCACAACTCAAAACAGAAGTCAGAGATACAGCACTTAGGCAGGTTGTCACTGTCAGCATTAGAGAAAGAGTTTGAAATCAGTGGGAAAGGAAGAGGGGATGGTGAGTAGTTGCTGCAGAGTTTGGAGCGATTTAACTTAGGAATAAAAAAATACCTTGCAAGCTCTCTAGCTGGGAAGTAGGTGGTCATCGAGCAGTATTAGAAATAGGCAACACAGGAGACAACAGATTTGGAAGGAATTCAAGTTTAGCTTTGGTTATCTTAAGTCTGAGGTAAAATGTGAAGGTGGCAGTGTCCTCTGACAATAGCAATGCAAACCAAAAGCTCAGTTCTGGGAGTCATCTGCCCAGAGGCAGGAGCCCTGAAACCAAGCCTCAAGATGTTCCCCTAAGGCCCCAAAGCATGGCTAGTTTTATTGCTCTGTAAATTTATTAACCGTTGAGCAGATGTTTGGCTCACAGGTATACCTGCCTTCCAGAGACAGCCTTAAGTAATTACCCCCCCCCCAGCTGTTCATTTCTGGGTAAATTCCAAGTGCTTTATCAGAATGGTTGGCTGCTCCTTGAGGTGTCTTTAGGTTATGAAATGCTTACTCTGCACATGGTACTGTGTTAGGTACACACAAATCTCTTACTCCTCAAAAACTCTGCTGGAGCGTGGATATTTCCGTTTTAGGCTCAAAGCGTTGAAGCCTAGGAACACTGAATTTGGTGTCACAAATTACAAAGTGGTCGGGTTGGGGACGACAGCCCCACAGCTGCAGGGCTCCACACACTCCAAGCTCTATCTTTCTGAATGATAGGGACCCGGACGACAGTCTATCCGTGTACACCTTTAAGAGCATATCCATCAAGACGGAACGATTGAGAAAGGCTCAGTTCATACCCGTTTTTCATTCCCTTTTCCCAACCATGCTTAAGAGGAACCTGAATCTAGGAGGCTGAAAGGTATTCACTCACTCTCCCAGCTGCAATCCCTCCCACAACCGCCAATTTGATGAGCACTGTGTGTACACACGTGAACTCCCAAAAGCTCAATGCCACAGATACCCATCATCACACTCCCGCCTAATCGATGAGAAAATCTGATGAGGGTAAGAAACTTGCCCAAGAACTTGGCAGGCATTACGTTCAACTGACGCGCCAAAGACATCCCTCCCCAAGGCCTCCGAGCCCGCATTTTTCCAAACCACGTGGACTACCCCTTTTCACTTTCAGGAAATCTAACCTCACATCTGCTTGGCTTTTCACGTGGAAAGAGGCCCCGAGGAAGAGGCGAGACAAATAGCAGGGGCAGAAATCGGCCTCTGAGTCTTGGGTTTCTAAGGACATTCCCACCCTCCAAAACCTCCACCCAACACAGAGATGGTTTGTGGGGGCCCGACGAGCTTGTCAAGCAAGAGGGGGCGGGCCAAGCAGCACCAGGCTCCCGGATGTGAGACGAAGCCCAAGGAGGACACAGGACCGAGGAGCGCGTAAACCCACCTAAGTCCATGGTGGCGGTGCTGGCAGCGGCGCGCGGCGCCCCTCCCCCCGCCCCGGCTGTGAGTAAAGCGCAGGCGCCACGCCACAATGGGCGGGGCGGGGGGGGGCGGTACGAAGGGTCGCGTCCTAATCCCCGCCCACAGTCTCAGCTCCGCCCAACCAGGACAGCGGCGGCGCTCCGCTGCTCAGCGCGCAAGCGCGGCTCCCACCAACGAGAGCAGGCGTCGAGCCCGCAGTGCCCCCTATCGGCTAGAGTCTTCCCACCAGCCAAGAAGCAGGTACCAGCAGGTCCCTCCCATCGTTGTGTGTGCTCCGCCCCGACCCTCCGGCTGCTTCCCTTCCTATCCTCAGCCCTAGTCAGCCAAGCTTTCCCCGCCACCCGTACCTTGGAGACTTGCTTACTGATTATCAGTCCGCCTACCATTAGCCCATTCTTAGCCCCTTATACCTTCACTAACCCGCAAAAACTGAGTGCCACATTGAGTGGCTTCCTGCCCCAGCGGGTCTCCGTGTCTCACAAACACACAAATGCCCTCAACTCTTCTCATCCCACACAGCCTTCCGCATAACAACCGACCTCAGTTTTAAGGGAGCGAACAGGCTTTTGAAAAATTAATGTGTGATCATTCCCAGCAAATGACTGGGCTAAAACAGACATCTTTAAAGGGCAGATGTAATCCAATGCACTGCCAGTTGGCAGTCTGGAATTCGCAGAGAAAACTCATAAAATATCCTGCGTTCTCCTCACACTCGGATTTACTAGGGGAATAAATACAGCTCCATTTCCCCCTTTCCTACCGTCTTTAGCCTTCTACGTTTTGAACTCTTCATTCTTTGCATTTCCTAAAGGCAGCTAGCTAGAAAAGGCAGCGGGAGAGCGGCTCAACCTGATGTGCCAAGTGGAATTTGAGCTGGCTTGCGCAGCTATCAAGGAGCTGAAGGGTCCTGTGAGCGATCAGGAGAAGCTAATGGTGTACAGCTTCTACAAACAGGCCACTGAGGGTGACTGCAACATCCCCACCCCGCCTGCCTCCGACGTCAAAGCCAAGGCCAAATGGGAGGCGTGGAACATGAACAAAGGGATGAACAAATCCGATGCGATGAGGTTCTATATTGCTAAAGTGGAAGAGCTAAAGAAAAAGGAGACTGGATAGGGACGACAGATTGGTGGACAGAGAAGCAGTATGGCTCCTCTGGGAAAGGAAACCTTAAGATCTCTGGAAAGACCTTGAGGGCTCAGCTGTCCTGAAATGGTAACATTTTAGCTGAGACATCAATAAATCAAACTGAAGTGCCTGTGCAAGTCTTGGGAAACTGTTCAGCTAGAGTTCTCGGCAGTTTATATTGCCAATGCAATGAGTATTTGGCAGGAGTTCAGGGGTGGAGGTTGAACTTCATGTTAGGTGCCATTGAGTCAGCACCAATTCATAGTTGACCCTCCAATGGGTTTTTAGAGGCTATAAATCGCATAGGAGGAGACTGTACATTTTTCTCCCCCAGAGTGGCCAAGTGGATTCCAACTTTCAGTTATTGTTGATTCACTGCTCTGTGTTGTTCAAAGTACAGAAGGAAGGAATGGGGCCATCTTTCCAGACCCTGCTACCCAAAGACACCACTGGAATGCAGACTCGATGAAGTTATATCTATTGAAAGAAGTCAAACGTTATGTGTTAATACAGAGTAGTAATTGATGCCTCACAATGCTGCACTTGAGAAATACTAAAGCAGATGTTTTCTATTTTAAACAAGTGATTACACTTTCTGGGGTTGGGGGTGGGGATGGGGAGTAAAGGGGAAATGGAGTCAACAGGGACGGAGTAGGAGCAAGATGTTATTATTAAATCTGGTGAAGAAGTTGGATGGAGGCCACATGGAAAATGGGCTGTTACATGTCACTGCTGTTATGTGCTATTGAATCAGAAACAACTCACAGCTGACACTCCAGTGGGTTTTCAGGGGCAGTTTTTTTTGCACAAGTAAATTACCCATCCTTCTGGTGGATCTGCAGTGTGCCTCTAGGATTGCAATGCAGCTTCTCACCAGTAGGCCACCAGAGCTCCTTAAATATATATTGTTGTTGTGTACCATTCAGTCAGAACTGGCCCACAGCTGACCCTCCAGCATGTTTTCAGAGCCAGTTAAGTGCACAAAAGGAGACTGCCCATCCCTCTCCCATGGAGCAGCTGATGGATTGGAATATGCAGCTTCCTATCACTAGGTCTCCAGAGCTCCTTGCAATATATACTAGGACTTATAAACCCCAATTAAAATGATGTAACTATTACAATGAAAACAGAGGAATTAAAAGAGCTAACCAATTTTACCAGCCTGAGAAAAAGCATCACCAAGTAACATTTTGTAATTGACTCACCCCAGAGGTGAGAAAGTATACCCATTCTTGTCCAGACTCATCCTCAGAGGTGGGAATGTATACCCATTCATGTACTGACATGATTAGGTTACAAAGACCACGCCATTACTTGAAAATTGATAGTATACAAAAATGGAAGATAAACACATCAGATCACAAAAACACACACCCATCACAGCCACTGTTACATGTAAAATGTAGGACAATGAGATAGTAAGTGAAGAAGATATAACATTTTAACATTTTTTTCATGGTGGTAACTGTGCAGAACTCAAACTTCTGGATTTCTGATAAAAAGTCCAAGTGGTACACTAAATGGTTTTAGGAAAAAATAAAAGGTAACAAGGAAAGAAAATATTGGCAATGCAATAAATAAAAGGAGGCTGTTACAAGGTCAAAATGTGTCAGGTAAACAATAACATTAATTTCTACCATACATGGCTATATGAGGAAAAAATTGTATTATTTTAAGATAAAGAATGCTCTAACGTGTGTTATTTGATCACTCAGTACGTACACAAATCACCTATTTTATTGTAACAAACCATGTCACACAGTAGGTTAGTATAATGGAAAAAAATTTTTGTTCCTCCCTCAAAGACTAGATTTAACTCAAGAATTAATCTAATAGAAAATCTGAGAATTCACATAGTACAAAAGAACAAGTTTATCTGATTATTTAAGATTTTTATTATTTGCTTGTATAAAAAGAAAGTAATTAACTAGATGAAGAGCACTTAGTATAACTTGGTTTGTTTTGAAATATTTGACTGATTCCCTAAGAGACGAGACATTAAAGCTAAATGACAAGTACTGCGAAGCTAGATATTACCCTTCTAACAAAGTGAGCAAGAACTCATCTAGAAATTTCCATAGGTAACCCTGCAAGGGAGAATAACTGACGTTATGATTTAAAAGTAATTTTATATAAGGTGCACCGGATCCAGGCCATGGTCTTCGCAATTACTTGCTATGCAATGCATCTGAGAGCTGGACAATGAATAAGGATGACAGAAGTGATGCCTTTGAGCAACGGTGCTGAATAAGAGTATTGAGCATAACGCGGACTGTCGAGAATAAACAGGTCTGTCCTGAAGAAGGTGAAATCAAGTTTCTCTCTGGAGGCAAGGATTTAGAAGCTCCATCTCACATACTCTGGGCACATTTTTAGGAGGGACTGATCCTTGGAGGACATCATGCTTGGAAGGGTGGAGGGACAACACAGGAAATGACCCTGGATGAGGTAGATTGACACAGTGACTGTGCTGGAGACAGTGAGACTGGCTCAGGATAGGACAGGTTCAGAACTATTATACATAGGGTCACTATGAGTCGCAGGTGACTTGATGGCACATTTCTGAATTTCTTAACTCCTAGGTTAAATTTTTTTTCATTTTTCCCTTCAGATTTAAACCTGTCACCATTTTAAATACAAGTCTCAAAAGAGTAGTATGTTATGTTAGGTGCCATCGAGCTGAGCATGACTCATAGCCACCCTATGAACAAAAGATCTGAACCCTGTTCTATCCTGCACCATCTTCATACTTCATGACACACAAGAGACCATTGCAGAAGTCACCATATCAATCCACCTGCTGAGGGACCCCCCACCCTTTCCAGTATCATGTCCTTCTCCTAGGCACATGCGCAAAGTATGTGAGGTGAAGCCTCATCATTCTTGCCTCCAAAGAGCACTCCATAGCAACCTGATAACAGGAGCACACAAAATTAACAGACATACTCAATATAATCTTGCTTTTAAATTTGTATTTTTATTTGACATGTTTACAAATCGTATTGCTTTTTCATACAATCATTCAAAGATATTTTGCTTTAAAATATTAGTTATCATTGGTTGGTAAATTAAATAATTATATCAAATTAATCCTTTGTATCCTGCCTTTTTTTTCCACTCAACTCATCCATTAATTTCACTCCCCTCTTCCTCCTTTCCCATCCCAATTAAACTTCCAAGACTGATGCTGTGTTTAAACTTTGCCTTCCATACCCATGTTTGGGGTTTTATTTCATTAATATATTTTTAATATTAATAAAAAATTTCCTTTCCCACTGAAATACACAAAACTTTTAAATATATCATCACTGAACAATAAATCCTACTGACAATGTTTTCTAAGTATGATAATCTTATATTAAAAATTTCAACAAATTTTTCACTTTGACTATTTCCTGGGTACAGTACAGAGGCAAACTGAGAGTACTTAAGACCATTATCGTTATAATTCATACCCATGTTTTTAGTGATGAAAAAAAAATACTTGTTCTAAAGAACTAAAGGAAAAACTGGAAGAAAACATTGAAACAAACCAGTGAGGAGCTGAATATGTGGAAACGTTCAACACACTGAACTCAAAAAACAAAATTTAAACAGCAAGGATAATGAGGGTATCAAGCGACCAAATCTTTTTGTCCATAATTTCCATTATCATTCTTCCAATGTTAAGATCTGAGAAGAAGGCATTGCAATGGCCTAATGTTAACTGGCTCTTCATCAGGTGCTTGAATATGACTGTTAAAATCAAGTGATTTGGATTTATTGGGATAGTTTGCTTTCATAAATTTCATATGATTCACAGATCAACAAAATTCTATCTCCAATTAAGGATGGACTGTATCATTCCAGTGACAGAGCAGATTACAGCCAGGGTCCACTTCTACTTAGACCAATTATACTGGGGTTTCCTATCTTGAATTGGAACTTTCTAAGACTAGAAATCCCAAATCTTTATTATCCTGGTCTCCTAGCCTGTAGAGGATACTACCAATTTAGAAGGGCATTGACTATGAATGGGCACATCAGGCTCACAGGGGCTGGACAGGAGTCATAAAGGCTGGTTCCAAACGTCTTATGTTAAGCTGAAGCCTTTGGTTTATTTTGTTTGGCAAACCACTCATCACTCTTATCTGCCGCCATTGCCTACAGAAAAGAGAATAGGGATGTATATTAATTCAAAATCTGTAGAATAAAAGCCTTGACTGGACTGTTTGCAAAATGAAATGAACCTTTAGAGTTAAATGGACTGAGCGTGCCAGGACACGGGGTCGCTGGCAGAACATAAAGTTCTGCCACTCTGTGTCTCGGTAGGCCCCCCAGAATCTTCAGTCCTCCTGAGACTCAGGCTGAAGAAAGCAAATATGAAAGTTATTTGCCCTTTTAGCCTAGAACTAGTCCCTCTGTGCTTTCTTCTACCCCATTCCACTGACAGAAATATTGTGTAGTTTCAGATGCCTTAACTCAAAAGGAAGCCTTAATAATGTTTTAGTTCTCATTAGAGTTCTATTACAGTTCACACAGAAGGGCTTGTAGAGTCAGGATTGGAACCTAAGTATCTTAAAACTTTCTGTCTATCCCAAAGATAGTTCAAATCCAGCAGATGCTCTGCTGAAGGAGGAGTGGCAATCTCCTCTTGTGCCAATCAGATCCAATTTGACAACACACAAGAAAAAAACTTTCTAATACAACGAAGCATATGGTAAACAGCTAGGAAACAGGTAAGGAGAGTCATTTATTCATTAAGTAAAAAAGTAACTGCAGATATAGATTAAGAAAACTGGGGGGAAAAAACACCCCAAACTAAAAAAAAAACAAACCAAAAAAACCCCACCCCCAAACCAAAATCCAACAAAAAAAAAAAAAGAAAACTGATGATTAAAGTTATGAGCAAGGTACTACAGTGGTACTACAGTGGTACAAGGTACTAGCAGAGACATACACACTGAGGCTTTGAGAAGTATATCGAGTAGCCGAGGACTCAGGGGTGGAAATCACTGCTTTATCTGATTGTGTCTGTGTGTGTGTGTGGGTACATTTTTTGAGCATGTGCTATAATAGAACCTTGAACAAAGTGACATCAGCTTTAAGGGAAAGGAGCAACTAACTGGCGGGGGCGGGGGGAGGAGAAACAGTGTCAGTACACTGAAGTACTTTCAGCAGAAGTCAACAATGATGCTTGCAACAGACAATCAGTTCATGGTACTACATACATATTTCAGTTGTTATCATTGTGTGCTGTCGAGCGGGAACTGACTCATGGCTGACCCTCCAGCAAGTTTTCAGAGATTTTAAACCATATGGGAGGAGACTCCCCACCTTTCTGAAGCAGCTGGTGGATTCAAACCACAGGCCTTAGGGATGGCAGTGCAGCTTCTGTGTACATGGCCACTAGAGCCTCCTACATTTTATTTAAAAATATGTACCAGAGGAGACAGGAAAACGGTCGCCTCTGGGTAGTAGGATTCAGAGGGGCAGCAAGACAGTGCTGGATTTCCTCTCTATAGAATCTTAGTGGTACCTGATTTTCATTTTGATGAAAAGTTTTTAAGAATTAAAGATCAGATAAAACATCCACCAAGAGAAGTTGCTGTCTTTCATCAGCCATAAATAAAACTAACTCTGGTGTGGAGACTCCAAGAAGCTTTCTTAATCTTCAAAAGGCCAGTTGGAGAAGAGAGCAGGAAAAACAAATCTTTGGGTGGAGGCAGGAAAATATATCTTACTTAATATAAATAGTGCACTGTTTATATTACAGAATGGGGTACAGGTTGGGAAGAGGCAGCTCAGGATACTGGAGCATAGGAAGGAACAGATCTATTACACTGCTCTGTCAAAAAGTCTGGAATGCATCTTGGAGGCAGTGCAGAGCTATCAAAGGATTAAACAGTTTTGAAAATTACTGGATTTATACTTTGGAAAATTAATGCTGACAGCAGGAAGCGGGGGCTGACTGGAAAGCAGCAGAATGCCTTGCTTGAAATATTACAATTGAGAAGGGCCTTTTTAAAAGAAAAGGAGAGAGAGAGAGAGAGAAACAAGAGATCTCAGAGGAAGAACACAGCTCTTGGTAACTAGTAGCTGATAGAAATTTAAAATCAGAAGAAACCGGTTCTATAAATATAAAAATATTCTAAAATTTAGAAGTTTATTAAATGTTTCTTAAAATAAAAAACTGGCTTAGATGATTCTGGTTTCAATGACTGGGTGACAAACTCTGCACTGATTGCTCCATTCCTTCAATCATACAGCAAAGTTTTCAATGAATGCACTCTGGGTATAGAAGTTGGAATGAATGCACATTAGGTCTAGAAGCTGGAAAGGCAACAACTGTCACTACTTGGAGCTGCTAAAATATCTAGCTCGACAAGGCTAAAAAAGTAGTTGCTGTTGCAGAATGTTGGGGAGAAAAGGAAGGCCTCTGGCCAGGACGGGTGGCCTGAGCTCCAGACAGGTGCAAGCCTCCCAACAGCCTTTAATACAGGGTAGAGAAAGCTCCCCTGTGTTTGTCTGTACCAGCTTGAGAAAGCTCACCACCTGGGAAGACAGCTGCCGCGTCTGTTGAGCCAGGAGTGATCTGCATGAGGCTGAGGTTCTCCTGATCAATCCACATGTCCCATGTCTGTAAGCCCACCCTATTCTGTCTTCCTGTGTATATCAGTGAGGGCTTAGCCTAATAAAGTTGAGCTGGACTGACTCTCTGATCCTCTGCCAGAGTGGCGTCTCCGTCGTGCTTACTCCCATCAGGTTGTCACTGTTAAGTTGCTGGTGAATTGACAGCGACAAGTTGCTACCTGGCATGATGGAAATCCCTGATGAATTCAACAAGCGACATTTCACTGAGCCTAAGGAGCCAGTTCAAAACGGGGAGATGGACATTAGGAAGGAAGAAGCAGAAACAGAATAGAGAGCTTTTCTTTTTGAGAAATCTAGAAATGGAAAAGGGATGAGTCAATATTAGATTTTTTTAAAAAAGATGAGGCGATACTGGAGCTTGTATATGTGCTGGAGAGAACAACTAACTAGAAAGGGAGAGGCTGGTGCTGAGGTTGGAGGAGAGATGACCAAGACCTAAGAGGATGGAATGCAGGCATTTCCACTAACTACGCAGGACCGTGATCTACACAGGGGCAGAGGTTCCCCGATCAACCTGATGTAGTGGGAAGGCATAAATGCTGAGCCCAGACAAAAGATCAGATAGGTGGTAACAGAGACAGAGGTCCTTGGCTGAAAAGTCATCTCAATACAACAAGCACGTGAATCTGATAATAAGTATGTGAAGCTGTACCTCATCCAACAATTTGCTTCCCTCTGGATCCATTTTGGAAAGTTCTCGAAATGCTTCATCCCCCACAAAGCAAATTTCATGTCCATCCTATACCAACAGAGAAAAGAAATTTGGAAAAAAAAAACCTTGAGGAAAACAGAAGAAACCTCTGGAGCAGCCTGAATGATACTTACGGGGTCAGCCAAGATGACCACTTGGACCGTTGCTTTTCCTGGCGTATCCAGGCTCACCAGGGGAGTCAGGATCTTCTGGTTCTCCTTTTTCATCAATTCTTCTATGTCTGGCAACTGAGGGAAAACAGAAAAGCAAGAATGAGCTCAGGGACAGGTGCGACCCCCATCACAGCTGTGGAGGACTATCATATCAGCCAGCAAGAGCCCAGGCGCCACTTGTTTGATTTTATTATCTCAGCCATTCTCAGGACAATTGCTGAATGTGATACCAAAGTCATAATCAGAACCGACCTGGAGAAGGGCGGGCCAGAGTTCTGAGCGAGGCTGAACCAGCCAGTCACAGAACATTCATTAAAGACCTGGTGCTGGCCATTACCTCTTTCTTAGGACAAGAAAAGGCAATTCGTCCAAAAGCTGCTGCATGATCAACTGCACCCTTGACCTCTTGAAGCTCCAGCTTACACTGAGGAGAAATAAGAAAGTAGGTTTGCTTTTCAAGTTTATTATTTTAGGACATGCATGCAGGTAGTTTAAAAAAAAATCTAAGCAGTATGTATAGGTATAAAATAAGCATTAAATATCCCTCCTGCTTTCATTTAGTAGTAAGTGTTAATCGACTGAGCATATTCCCAGTATATTCATATTCACATACACATACAAACACAAAGCATCATTTACGCATATCCTGCCCCTCATTTTTCTTCACTTTAATGCTACCCTCTCCATGCACAAAGATTCGCTTCAACATTCTTGATAGTGTCATTCAGTGACTGATAAATATATTATTATTTATTTCTGTTATCTACAGGACCTTTAAGTGGTTTCTAATATTTTGCTATTTCAAATAATGCAGCAACAGATATAATCTTTGTACATATTTCTTTGTGTAGTACATGTATGAGTACATCCATAAGAAAAGTCCTATGAGTAGGCTGCGTCAAAGTGTAAGGTACAAAGTACACTCAAATGTTAAGCTACTTATTTATGACTTTTAAAGATGAAAAGAAAAGCATCACTACAGCATTACATTCTGTCTCTCTTTTGATTCATCAAAATCAGCTTTTATAAGTATCTATTCCCAAATACAAACAAGGTACTACCTGGGTAGTGGGGTTAACTGTTATTTTCTTCTTTCTGTTTATCTGTATAAATACTGGTTCACTAGAGAAACTAGGGGAATATCCTTATGTTACCCTTACTTATAAGTCAAACTCAAAACCCAAAACCTATAGCCACTGAAATCACTTCCAAATCATAGCAGCCCTACTGGAAGGAGTGGAACCACAGGGTTTTTAGGCCGTAAGAATTTACAGAATCATGCTGCCTCATCTTTCTCTTGAACTGTCAATCCTGTAGTTAGCAGCTGAGTGCTTCAGCTCCACATCACCAAAGAGCCTTGTAAAACTAAAAACAATAGTCTTTTTTTATCTCCAAAATGACTCACTTGGTTGTCAGCATAGCCCAGCAAGGCCTTTTGCTTCTGTTCATCTTTTTCATAAATTTTCATTCCCAGTAGATTTGACCAGTAGTTCAAAGACTTCTGAAGATCAGACACTGCTAGCGTTACTTTTAGGACAGGATCTGTAGGGTAATAATAAGACAGGTAGAAAAAATGGTTCAGAAAAGAACAGATTTGCATATACATAAAGATTTAGTTTATGAAAAGAAGGGATCTTTACAGGGTTAGGAGAGAGGATATTATTCAATAAATAACATTAGGACAATTACACGGGAAAAAGTTAAGTCTTTATGTATTCCTTAGGAGTTAAAGGATTATGTTAAAATAAGAAAATATTATAATACAGATAATCAATTATATTTTTGGGTAGGTGAAGATTTTTCATTAAACCTTATTAGAGAAGAATCCAGAACAAAAGGAAGAAATGCAAAACAGAGTTTCAATTCTCATGGAATCCAGACTTCCTGAAGCCATGAAGGCTGGATGAATCCTTCAAACTTGAGGAGATTGCCTGAGATAATCTTTAAGCCAAAACATCTGAATTCTTCTTAAAACTAAACAAGGTTAGCTTAACTAGTGAAATAAAAAGGCTGCCTTCAAGCATTGAGCTCTTTAAAGAACTATCTATATGAGATAAAGTGGAAATAGCACATGGGCAGATGAGTCAGGGATGTTAGGGAGGGGTGGATTTAATGAAGGAGGACCAACTCAGAAAAGCAGGCTGAGAAAGACGCACAGTTTTTAGAATGATCAGTGTCACTAGATGGTACATGCAGAAATCAGCGAACGGATTGGTTTGTGTTTTGCTTTGTATATTTTCAACAACAACAAACACTGCATAGAAAGAGCAAGGAAAGAAATAATTAAGGTGACTAAAGAAGTAACGGGCTACATAAAGGGCTTTCATTACAAAGTCATTCAAAACAGTATTGTTTGTAACAATAAAATAGTTGAAAAACATAAAGATGCAACACCAGAGAATTTTTTATACTCCTACAAGACAATACAATGGAACTTTTATATTGGAATAAAAGCTTATTTACATAGGTCTTTATTTGGAAAAAAAGTTAGAAAAGATATAGTACATCACGATAACAGTGGTTATCTCTGGATATATGAGTAATGTTTTATTGTTTTCTATCTAGGGAAAAAACAATTATTTTTAAAAAGAGAATAAAGGCTTTATTAAAAACATTTCACATTCTTGGAAACTTTTTATATTATATAAAGGGACTTTCTGAAGGTTTGTTCGAAGTTTACACCTGACAGTTTGACAAATGCATTCTATTTGCTTTTAAGGTTCTCAGTGCCTCGGTGCTACATGCTGGAACAGCAGTTCTGAAAGACTGTCAGAGGGTAAGCTATTCCTCACCGGGGCCTCTGGCTTTCAGAATTCAACTGCAGTTTGCGCCATTTATTTCCAAAACAACAAAGTCCCTGCTGACTTGGAACCTGAAGGGAGGCAGGGGCAGAAATGGTAACAAGTAGGTGAAACTACATCAGAGTGAATGATTCAATGGGAGGCTAAATTGCCAGCGAGACCAACAGACTTGATTATATTTTTATACAGAAATTACTACCCAAAAGGGGACAAAAATCATCTGAGATACGACTCTCGCTTCATTACTGTTTAAAGCATTTAAACAAAAACACTATTGTGGTAACATATATTGCCATTTTAACCATTTGAAAGTGTACAATTGAGGGGAGCTCTGGTGGCCTAGTGGCAAGAAGCTGCAACTACAATCCCAGAGGTGCACGGTTCGAATCCACCAGATGCTCTGCCGGGGAAGGAGGGGCAATCTCCTCCTGTACCAGTCAGATCTGATTTGACGGTACACGCACACAAAAATAATAAAATAAAATAAAAAAAATTTTTTAAAAAAAGTTACTTTTTAAAAAAAAAAAGAAAGTGTACACTTGAGTGACATTAATCACATTTTGCAACCATCATCACTGTTTCCAAAAGTTTTCCATCACCCCAAACAAAAAGTCAGTGCCCTTTAAGCAGGAATACTCAATATCTTCCTTGTTTAAATACGGAAACACCCTAAGACTTGGAGGGGGGGGGGAGGTGTAGGAGTCAGGGCTTAAAATCAGGAAGTAAAGTAACAATCAACTGTAAACAAAAAACCCCCATAAAAATGCTTTAAATCGCCTTGAACCACCAGCTCTCCATAAATCCTCTAATAGCCCCACACCAGAAGGGGTTGCTAAGCACTAGACGGAGCAGATGTAGCAAAGTCAGACTCAGCATGAGGGACATTTGGGGCCTGAGGTTGAGCAGTTAGCAAAGAGAATACATGTTCTTCTAATACCTGAAATGTCCATTTTAGGGCCACTGTGGGACATATGTTCTGAGTAAGACTGTGGGCAGAGCTGCCCTTGATATTTACCAATGAAGTTTTTGTCTTCTCAGGGCAGAGAGTAGAATTTGTGTGGATTAAATACAGATTTCCCTGCTATCTGAAAGTAGTGTTCCTACCAAACTTTCAGTAAGCCAAAGTGACATAAAATGAAAACACAATTGCCATTAATTCATAGGAGAAAATTTTTTGAGTGTTCCCAGGCCCCAAAAATCATCTACCAAATCTTATCAAACAACACATACTCCCTAAAATAAAATGAACATGCAGCAAAAGCAGGACTGACATGGTTAGTACATAGCCTTTATAAAGTAGAAATAATGTACAGACAGCACAGATCCTGGGAAGGAGCTTGGTGACACCACTCTCGCTACCTGGGTTGCATATTACCTTTTTAACAGTTTACTGTAAAACAAAAGCTGAATGCTGGTTAGTACAGTCACTTTCCCTGCCCCCAAGTGAATTCTCAGAATTTCTGTTAGCAGAAACAGGTACCAATGTATGTCTTCTGTAAAAGTGAGTGGTCTACCGGGAACATCTGAAAAAAAAATGCACCTGTCCGTACGTCTATGATGAGGATGCCTTTCCAGGATACAAAACATGCAAAGCAAGTTTCCTGTCAGCTGTGGCAGCCAGTGCGGTGGCCTCCTGCCTTGTATTCAGCTCTTGCTCTCTAGGTGCCAGCATTATCTTTCGGGATACTGACCTCAGTTCCAGGAGTGTGACTGACTGGTATCAGGAGAATCCTATTTCTCTGGCCCAATGACTGGCTTGGAAGCAGGAAATGAGTCAAATCTGACTGGAAGTCTGGTGGAACATTCTAGGGAAAGTTTCGCTCTGCTTTTTAAAAAGATAACAATAGGTAATTGAGCTCCCCATCTCCTACTACAAGTGAATGAGAGGATGCAGCACTAACTGGTATTAGCAGCACTTCTATAGCCACCAGCAACCAGCTCAAGCAATGCAGGGAGAAGAGGAAGTATGGGTTCCTGATGGCAATGCCAAATCAACCAACCTCAAAACCTTAATATAAGCTGGGTTTTTGTACTTTACAGTTGAACATATTCTAAATAGACACAAGCCACCTTCTGCACCCGTGGAAAAGAATCATTGAGATGCCTTCTAAGTGCACCAGCTCTGAGGTTAAAAGTATCCATTTTATGGAAACAGGAACATTGGCAGAGGAAAAACATCATTTCAGAATAAAAAGAAAAAATAAATAAATATCTGGCTTCCTCTCTCTTCCCAATAAGAAGCTGTTAGTCAAGAACTTTTATTAGCCACCATATAGTTACCTGACTGAGGTGGATTGTGATTCTGCAAAAAGAATTTATATCCTCCTGGGGCTTCAGTTTCAAAAACACCTTCAGAAACTTCTTTGAGGGGCCACTTCAAGTTCCTGGCATTGCTGACAGCCTGGCTAGAGGCGAGTGTGATACCCTATGGCAAACAACGTCAGCAGAGTGTTACTGCAGGCAAGCATGGCAGATCTTTCCTAGAGCGAGACAAGGAGGCAGAACCCCCACTGCCTTTCACCTAGTGATTTAAAATGAGGCCTTAGCTATTTTTCCCTCCACAAAGATCCAAAATTCCATGAATCAAATCACAGAAATTTAAATGGCAGGGAAGTTTAACCTATTTCATAACAAAGATATTATCTCTTTATTTTATACATCCAGTCAGAGAAATTTGATCTTGTATCGGCCCACACCTTGAGATGCTTTGCTTATTTTTTGGGGAGGGGGGTTTCCATTCATTTATTGTTGTATTTTTCTCCCCTCCCAACCCTCCCCCCTAGTACACTACCCTCTTGGAAAAGTAAAAGAAAAATTCTTTCATTGTTTTACAAACCCTCCCCCAGGTCCACTCCATTCTGCAACCTTCACTCTGGACTCCTGTCATGACAAAAATGCCTAATAGTGTATCCCTTTTAAACAGTTTTCTCCCTCATCTGTTTCAATGCAGTATACATTATTGAACCCATCTTTCTCAGTCTCCCCCACCCCAACCCCGATGTCAGTCCTGTTGTACAACAGTGGCACCATGCAGTATTTGTCATTTTGTGACTGAGATACTTCACTCAGCATAATGTCCTCCAGGGTCACCCATTTTGAATAATATTGCATGAGTTCCTTGTTTTTCAATGCAGTGTAGTATTCCATTGTATGAATATACCACAGCTTCTCTATCCGTTTGTTTGTTGATGGGCACATAGGTTGTTCCCAACTCCTTCCTATTGTGAACAAAGCTGCAATAAACATGGGTGTGCATGTATCTGCTCGGATGTTGGTTACGGTCTCTTTAGGGTATATCCCAGTAGGGGAATTGCTGGGTCAAATGGTATCTCTATTTGTAACTTTTTGAGAAAGCACCATACCGCCTTCCACAGTGGTTGCACAATTTTACACTCCTACCAACAGTGAATAAGAGTTCCAGTTTCTCCACAACCTTGTCAGCATTTGTTGCTTGCTGTTCTGTTAAATTTTGCTATTCTGACTGATATCTCATAGCTGTTTTGGAGATGCTTTGCTTTTATTTTTAAATAATTCCCACTACCAAAATATTCTTTATCTAAAAATATATCCTTATGCCCCTAGCGACAAGGTTATCCTCAGCTCGAACTGGGAAAACAGCCCCTCTGCACCTCCATTCATGTCAAATCGTTCACTCTACAGCTAGAGTGAACGCTCCAAACCTGGATGGTGGTGGTGTTACATGCCCTCAAGTCAGAACTGACTCTTGGCTGGCCCTCCAGCAGGTTCTCAGAGGCTGTAATTCACACAAGAGGAGACTCTCATCTTTCTCCTGAGTTACAGCAGGTGGATGTGAACTGTGTATCTTTAGGTTGGCAGCACAAAGTCTTAATCACTAGACCATCAGAGCTCCCTGACCACTTTTCTTGGAGAGCTGGTCACTGCTCTCTGGATCAATTCAAACTCAACATACAAAGCTCTTAAAGGTCTCTTTTTTATATACTTCTCTCTATCCTCATTTTATAATTTTTTGTCTTTTAAATCCCAAGCTCTAGCTAAATGAATGGTTTCCAGGTTCTCTTAACTTTTTATACATGTTGTTCCTTCAGGAAAGAATTGTTCCCCTGTGTCTGACTAACTCCCACTCTACCTGGGTCTTGGCTTCTTGGGGAGACCTTTCCTATAAATTCTGGATAAAAGTCTACTTTTTTAAAAAATTCTCTCATTGTTATACGATCCCTTCCCCCAGTCCACTTTACTATGCAGCTCTTATTTGGGACTCTTGTCAGTAAATAATACCTGACCATATATTCCTTTTAAACAGTTCTCTCCATCATCTGTTTCAATGCAGTGTAAATCATTTATCCCCTCTCTTCTCAGTTTCCCCCAACCCTGATATGAGTCCTGTTTTATAACAGTGGCATTATGCCATATTTGTCCTTTTTTGACTGAGCTATTTCACTCAACATAATGTCTTCCAGGGTCACCCATTTTGTATAATATTTCATGAGTTCCTTGTTTTTCAATGCTGCATAGTATTCAACTGTGTGTATATACCAGAGCTTCTCTATCCATTCGTTTGTTGATGGGCACTTGGGTTATTTCCAACTCTTTGCTATCGTGAAGAAAGCCGCGATAAACATGGGTGTGCATATATCTGCTTGGGTGACAGTTATGGTCTCTTTAGGGAATATTCCCAGTAGTGGAATTGCTGGGTCAAATGGTATTTCTATTTCCAACTTTTTGAGAAAGCATCATACTGCCTTCTATAGTGGTTGCACCATTTTATACTTCCACCAACAGTGAATAAGGGGTTCCAGTTTCTCTACAATCTCGCCAGCATTTGCTGTTTGCTGTTCAGTTGAATTTTACTATTCTGACTGGGGTGAAATGATATCCCATAGTTGTTTTGATTTGCATCTCTCTTAGAGCTAGGGATTTTGAACATTTCTTCATGAGTTTGTTTGCCATCTGAATGTCTTCTTTGGTGAAATGTCTGTTCATATCTTGTGCCCATTTTGCAACTGGGTTGTTTATCTTGCTGTCGTGTAAAATTATATTTTTGATAATTTCCACAGCACAGACTTCTCCGTTTCAAAAGCAATTTTAAAAATTTACTCTCTTGGTGGGGGAAAGGAATGGAAGGTCTCTCAAAACAATACCCATTTATTAGCTATAAATAGTTAACTATTATAGTTCTGGAGGTCTAAAATCCAGCATGGATCACCTGGATTCTCAGTTCAGGGTCTCAGAAGAACAGACTCCAGTTGTGAGCTGGGCGACTTTGGAGAAAGATGTCTGTTATACTTTCAAAATTCATCCAGGTTGTTGCCTCCTCTGTCTCAAGACCAGAAGAACTGGATGGTGTCCAATTATCATTACTGAATATTTGATCAAAGAGTCTACAGAATCTTGATCAAAAGCAGTGAAATGCAGAACAGAATTTTACATTTTCATGGAATCTGGACTTTCTTGAGCCATGGATAATAGATGAGTTTCTGGAACTACTACTGTAAGATGATTTTTAAACCTTAAACAAAAATATCCTGACATCCTCTTTAAGAAATACACTTTAATGAGTCAAATAATGCCTTTTTTGAATATTGCATGTAATGAATTCCTTGTGGCTTTTCTCTGCTTTGCTCTTTACAGTTTCACCAAACGGCTGAGCAGGATTACGTAAATGTTAAGTGTCTGTGGACCACCTGGATGAGTTGTTTGCTAATAATATAAGGTAAAATGGCATTTTCTCGACGGGACTATGAAAATAAGGTGTGTAGAATGTTAATATGGGGATTGGTCAGTTTTGCCATCCCATCAGGCTTTAACGGAACTGTCTAGTAGATGGGAAGTGGGGATCTTGCTACCATCAAGAAAGCCAAGGCAGAGAGTGCAGTGCGTCCCGTGGACCTAAGATCCCAGTGCTGACTGGAGGCGTGGAGCCCTAACATCCTGGAGGCGGAGGGTACCTTGTGGGGGAAAACCCAGTGGTGGCATAGGTTGTAGAAAAAGGAGATTCTCTACCCACTGAAGGGTCTCTTCACAGACAACTCTGCCCACACACAGTGTCAGAGCTGCGTGTCCTTTGGCAGGAGGCTTACCAGCTAGTGGATTGAGGATGCCTTGGATACATAATTGGTAGAACTAAAAAAAGCTCTGTAACACTTCCCCAAGCAGAGCAAGCACTACAAAGGTCTTTTATTAAGACCTTAAGTGGAGGATGAACAGAAGTCAAGGTCATGAAAAAGGGACAAATAAATAAAAACCTGCCTTTTGGCACACCTGAAAAGAGGCTGTCCTGACGGAGGGACTGTATCCTGAGTGTCCCTGAATATGCACTGTTACCTCCCTAACAAAACTCACCATAATTGGGAGTATTATCAGTGTGGCCATTGCAACATATTATCAATCCAGTGGAGAAGTTGTGAATAGCATGGGAGGGGAGGCTGGTGGTAGAACTGGTAGAATAAGGCTTACTACATTTCAAAAAGAGCTGTATTTCCATGTTAGAGACCTAGCCACACTGAATTCTAATTGCATGCTAACTTCCAATAGACTCTAAACTCTGAAAGGACATGCATGACTTGAGCTCCATCACATTCTTAGCAGCTTCTAAAAAGAGCTTTAAGAAACAGGTACTAAAATAAATGAGGAAATGCCTCAAGAGGAAAATGTGAATGACTCGTTCCAGTAACATGTAAGTCTTTTTTACGCAGCTTTGATGATTTCATAGGGTATTTTAACAAATAAGTAGTACTTAAAGCAAACATGTGAAACGGAGACTTTTCAATTTACAGACCCCGAGAAGTATACACCAAGAAGGAACTTCCTAAATCTGACTCCAGGGACAATCTATGCACATACATATTCACTATGAGTCTTGATGGCACCTAACAACAACAATGGATATAATAAGAAAACTCTGCAGAAGCTAGTGGGTGAGAGTTGCTTTTCCAACCTAAAGGGACACGGAATGAATCTACCAGCTGCTTTGTGGGAGAAAGATGGGCAATTTCCTTCCATACAATTTATTGCCTCTGAAAACCTGCTGGAGGGTCAATTATGAGTTGGTTCCAACTCGATGATACACAACAACCGTGACTATAATAAGGAGTCCGGTGGCGCAGGAGGTCTCTGTTAGGCTGCTAACCAAAAGTTCTGAAATATTTACAAAAACCCCCAACTAGAAGTCATTGTTATTTTAGACACAGCAGGAATAGCAAAGCCTGTTGTTGATGTTGTTGCTAAGTGCCACTGAGTCGTAGACAATTCATACTGACCCTATGAACGAAAGACCTGAACATCTGTATAACTTTCATCATTTCTCCAAGTTCATAGGGTTTCCGGAGGCAAGCTATTTTGGAAGTGGATGGCACTCCTGCTTCTAAGCTTGTTTTAATTGGGGAGCTCCACCAAACACTGCCCACCATGGGTAACCATTATAGCATTTGACACATCAGTAGATAGAAAAATATTTCCTGGATGGTGACTAGTACCTGACCAGGCCAATGCCCCTGGCTTCTCCAGCTCCCAGAGTCCAGTCATACCCTAAGGGAACCTCATCCTCCAAAGCTATCTCATGTTGATTACAAACGTCAAGAGAAGACACATCATCCCGAAACCTGTTCTGAGCTAAGGATGCTCAGCTAGTCCTTCTTTCCCCTAACAACACAACATAAAAAAATCAGTAAACTGTACTTAAAAGCCATCAATTCAGTAGTCATAGACCTAAAGTTATACTTATAATCTCAAAAGAAAGTATTGTTAAACATCTTTTACAATAAAACGATAGTTACCATGAAGTCATTGCCTAGTTTGTAGTCTCCGACGCCATAATTGTAAGTCAGTTCTGCAACAAAATGATCATCCTCAGGCCCAAATCCCACCATTGTTTTACTCCATTTTCCATCATAAGGTCTAGAAAAAGGAAAGCAAATAAGCCCCGTGAGTACAGGTAAAATCTGTATCAGGTTTCCTCCAGACTACTGAGCACGGAGATAGGTCACCCCTCCACCTCAGTCTGCCAAATGTCCACAAGGAAGAGATGACCACAAATATTTCTGAGAGTAGCTAAGTGGACAGTGCTTCCTTAGTGCTCTGGGATTTCTCACTACAGTTTTCAAAGGCTACCAGAGGGAATTTACTCCAGGGAAAATGTCATTTCCCTTTTTTTAAAAGCAAAGGACAAAAAGCCCTGGTGGGATAATTGGCTAAGGGTTGAACTACTAACCAAAAGATCAGTAGTTTGAACCCCTCAGTTGCTAAATGGGAGAAAGATGATGCAGTCAGATCCTGTGAGGACTTATAGCCTTGGGGACCCCAGGGGTCGGTTCTACTGTCCGAGAGGATTGCTGTAAGTTGGAACCAACTTGACTTTGTTTTTTTGTTTAAAGCAGGGGACAGAATTTTTAAATGAAGTCCCCCAGTATGACTTTAAAAAAAAATCCATCAATAAATATACAAATTTCTCTGGAGTTTTTCAGCTTGCCATGGCTTTTGAGCTTACTACATATTTCCTAGACATTGTTTCATTCAGAACATGTATCTATCTGCGTTCTTAAGATGTTATTGTTGTCACAGCTATTAAGTCTAGCACAATCCATAGTGAACCTATATACAACAGATCTGAACCTTGTTCTATCCTGGGCCATCCTCACACTTCCTGACACACTAGAGTCCACTGCAGTAATCACTGTGTCAATCGACCTGGTCAAAGGTCTTCCTCTCCTCTGCCTTTCTGAGTATTATGCCCCTTTCCAAGAAACAGCCCCTCTTAGCAACATGCTCAAAGTATGTGAGGTGAAGCTTTATCATCTTGGCCTCCAAAGAACACTCCAGCTGCACCTTCTCCAAGACATATTTGTTCTTTTGGCTGTCTAAGGGATGATCAGTACTCTTCACCAATATCACTGCTCAAAGGCATCAATTCTTCTGTCACCTATATACACTGTCTAGCTCTCAAGTGCATAGCAAGTGACTGCAAAGAGCACAGCCTGTATCAGATGCCCTTAGTCCTCAAACTGATGTCATTACTCCTCAATAATTTGGAGAGGTTTCTAACTACAGACTTTCTTAGTGCAATACATCTCCTGATTTCCTGACTTCTGGTACCAAGCATGCTGACTGTAGATCCAAGTTAGATGAAGTTGTTGATAGTTTCAGTCTTACCACAAATCACTGCTCCACATTCTCTACTGCCTTATACTCACTTTGGGAAACTGCCTTCTACTTACCCAAGATTACCCAGTCTAAAGGAGGTTTTACGAAACAAGATGCCATACCCGTTACAGGTGGCTTTGCAGCCTTCTTCAAATTCCTCATGTCGAAGAATCTGGAAGGGGAATTTAAAAAAACAGTAAAGTTTTACTAACAATGCACACAACCTGTTCAGCACAAACCAAAAAATGAAAAAGTGAAAAGTGGTATCATAACTTGCAAGCTTTACTTATAAAATAAACCAAGATAAAATGATTTTTGTTCTTTTCCCAGGTTTGAAGCAAAGAAAGAAGGAAAAGCAGCCATGCCGACTGTGAAAACAATTTAGACTGTAAGGCAATGCTGTGTAGTAGGATAAGCGTGGCTTACAACATTGTTGTTGTTATGTGGTGTCAAGCCACTTGTGACTCACAGCAACCCTATACAACAGCTCTGAACCCTGCTCTATCATGAGCCTACCTTATTATCTCTGACACACCTAGACTCATTAGCCCAGTCACTGAGTCAATCCATTTCATTGAGGGTCTTCCTCTCTTGCACTGTCTCTCCTTCCTTCTAAGTATGATGTCCCTCTCCAATGACTTGCAGCATGCCCAAAGTATGTCAGAGAGACAGAGCTTCAGAATCCTTGCCTGGTGAGTATATCCAGGACTGCATCTATTAGTCAAAATATGTTAACTGCTATTTCATTGATTCCTGGAACCTTAGTTTTTGCCAATGCCTTCAGTGCAACTTGAACTTCATCCTTCATTACCACTGGCTGGAATTCCTTCCATGTTCTTTTGATGTTTCTTTCAAGATGATGATCTTGATGATGATTCAAGATTTTGCTCATAGCATCTCTCAGTGTTGCAACTCAAGATCTGAATCTGTTTTTCAGTTCTTTCAGCTTGAGAGATGCCAAGTGAGTTCTTCCTTTTTTATTCTCTGACTCTAGCTCTTTGCACATTTTGTTGTAATATTTTACTCTGGCTTCTCGAGTTGCCCTTTGGAATATTCTGTTCAGCTCTTTTACTTTGGCATATCTTCCTTTGGTATGGATTATATCTCAACATCAAGAAAACAAATGTCCTTACCATGGGGCCAATAGAACATCATGATATATGGAGAAAGGACTGAAGCAGTCAATGATTTAATCTTGCTTGGATTAACAATCAAAACTATTGTTACCAGCAGTCAGGAAATCAGGAGATGTACTGATCTTGGAAAGTTCACTGTCAGTTTAGTATTTTAATACTAAAGGGCAATGATGTCAGTTTGAAAACTAAGGTGTGTTGGATTCAGGCCATGGTCTTCTCAGTCTTACCTGCTATGCATCTGAGAGTTGGGCAATGAAGAAGGGTGACAGAAGAACTGAACCCTTTGAGGTGTGGTGCTGGAGAAGAGTACTGACCTTCCCATGATGTCTTGGAAAAAGTGCAACCAGAGTGCTCCCTGGAGACAAAAATGATGAAGCTTCAGCTCTCTTATTTTTGACATGTTTCTAGGAGAGGCTGGCTATTCCTTCAAAAGGGACATCATGCTGGGAAAGATGGAGGATCAGTAAAATAGAGGAAGACCTTTAAGGAGATGTACTGACACAGTAACTGCAACAATAGGCTCAAAAGAGGATGGCACAGGATAGGACAGGGTTGTTTTTAGGGTTGCTAAGAGTCAAGTTTGACTCAATGTTATCTAACAACAACAACTAATTATCTAATTAAGGAGTTCTGGTAGCTTTGCATTAAGATATTATGCTGCCAATACAAAGGTATGCAGTTCAAATCCATGGGAGAAAGATGGACAATCTCCTCCTGAGTGATTTACTACTGCTGAAAAATCCTCCCACCATAGGGTCAGCTATGGGTCACACAACAACATCATCTGATTATCTGTTGCAGACCGAAGGTAAAGTAATTTTATAATTATTAATAATGAGACAGACTACCAGGAATGATATAGAACAGAGAGCGTGAAAAACAGGGGGCTAGCAGTTCTCCACTCAAGCCCCAAGCCATGCTTCTCTGAGTATTTACTGAGAATCATAAGGAAGGTAAACAAAGTAAAATCATAACAAAGTATAAAACAAAACAAGGGATCATGGCTTTTGCAGATAAGGCCAAGTTCCTCTTTATGCTTATCTCGGGAGGGAGTGATTCAGTTAATACAAACTAAGAACAACCAAGTTGTGCCAAGAAATCTGGAGAACAACCACTTGGCCAACTGACTGGAAGAGGTCTATATTTGTTCCCATCCCAAAGAAGGGAGACCCAAC